TCGTGGGGTGTGGCCAGAAAGCAAAACTGAGCTCAAACCACCAAGAAGGTCGGTAGCACCCGGTCGGTTGCCTCTGGGGATGCAGGGGAGTGCCATGTGATCTGGAAGACATGCAGAGCTGACAGACGGGCAGGGACAGAAGACAGCCCTCGGGCAGGTCTGGAGATTGCTGTTGTCTTGGCGACAAGCCAGCGGCCACTTGGCCGTGTCCTGACAGGAGGGGTGTGGCTCCTCAGGAGGCACCAGCGGGCAGCGTGAATGCCGGTTCCCGGGCCGGGTTCGTGCCTCTGGCAGGGCACTTGCCTTGCACGTGTGGTCTTGCGCACTGGTGAGGACCAGACAGACCGGAGCCGTCCCTTAACCAGCCCTCCAGCACAGCTGGCTGTGCCAAACACTGGAAGAAAATGTCGGCGACTGTACAGCGGGGAGGGTCGGGCCTTGCTTGGTGGCCAGCGCCCTCCGTGTTCCCCCAAGCCCCTCCAGGGGTCAGCCCTGAGGACAATCAGGTGTCTGCCCCCAAACAAAAAAACAACTGTTGTAAGATTATCCAGGAATGTTGCTTAATCCCGGAACAAGCCGGTATGACCCACACTCCACAGAGCAGGAAGCTCGCTCAGACTGCCTCTGCGGTTAGCCACTGGGCAGGAGGGATGAAGAATCCTCGGCCTAGTCCTCTTTTAGGGGAGGGGTGCTCGGGGGTGGACCCGGGCCTGGCCACGGGCTAAGGTGGTGTCCTTTTTTTTTTTTTGCTTTTCTTTTGGGTCACACCAAGCCTTGCTCAGGGGTTACTCCTGGCTCTGCACTCAGGAATCACTCCTGGCGGTGCTTGGGGGACCCTATGGGATGCTGGGAATCGAACCTGGGCCGGCTGCATGCAAGGCAAACGCCCTACCCGCTGTGCTATTGCTCCAGCCCCTAAGGTGGTGTCTTCATTCCCAGACTGCGGCCTTGAAAGCCTGGGCTTTCCTTGAGGCTCACTCCTGGCTCTGCTCAGGGCCCCTTCTGACAGTTCCCCGGCAGTCGAACTTGACCGCACGCAAGGCTAGTGCCTTAGCCTTGTGCTATCCCCTGGCTCTTAGAGGCTTCAGTTTTGGAATAAAGAGTACCTTACTAACCTTTGGACTGGAGCGATAGCATAGCCTTGCCTGCGATTGACCCGGGTTCGATTCCTCCATCCCTCTCAGAGAGCCTGGCAAGCTACTGAGGGTATCCGCCTGCATGGCAGAGCCTGGCAAGCTCCCTGTGGAGTATTCGATACGCCAAAAACGTAACAAGTCTCACAATGGAAATGCTACTGGTGCCCGCTCGAGCAAATCGATGAAGAACGGGAGGACGGTGTTAACAGGGCTAACCTTGAAAAAGAAAGGAAGGGGGCTGGAGCAATAGCACAGCGGGTGGGGCCTTGCACGCGGCCAGGTTCGATTCCCAGCTTCCCACATGGTCCCCTGAGCACTGCCAGGAGTAATTCCTGAGTGCAGAGCCAGGAGGAACCCCTGAGCATCGCTGGGTGTGACCCAAAAAGCAAATTAAAAAGACAGGAAGCATCAGAATATCTCAGAAAAGATGGTCCATGTTACTTGCCCACTGTGGCCCCGTTGTGTTTCTAGGTTGGGGATCGAACCCAGGTTTCAGGCGGGCAAGGCCCGTGTTTCTGTGTGAAGCCATATCGCGGGTGCCAGTCAGATCCATGTTAGCAGTTCGGCTTCTCCTTTGGGTGTTTGGGTCACACTGGCTCTGTGCTCAGGGACGGACCAGGGCCCACTGTGTGCTAGTGACGGGCTAGCTCTCTGGTCCAACTTGGCTATTTCCCCCTCACCCCCTTTTTAAAGGGAGGGTTTGGGGCCACAGGGGCATGCTTAGGGCTTACTCCCAGGCTGCAGCCTGGGCTGTCATCTTGCCCTGGGCTGTTTTCCTTCCGGAGCTGAATAAGGAAGAGATGCTCACCAGGATGCAGTTGTTCATCAATTTGCCCGAGCGGGCCCAGTAACGGCTCCATTGTGATGTGATACTTGTTACTGTGCTTGGCATATCGAATACGTCACTGGCAAAAATACATTTGCCAGGCTCTGCCGTGCGGGCGAGATACTCTCGGTAGCTTGCCGGGCTCTCCGAGAGGGGCGGAGGAGTCGAACTCGGGTCGGCCATGTTGGCTGCGTGCAAGGCAGACGCCCTACCGCTGTGCTATCGCTCCAGCCCACAGGTGTGTGCTATCACTCACGAGGATACTTCTAAGTTTTGGGGCCACACCCCGCAATGCTCGGGAGTCACTCCTGGCTCTGCACTCAGGAATCACTCCAGGTGGTGCTGGGGGACCTTATGGGATGCAGCGGAGCAAAACCCAGGTCGGCCACGTGCAAGGCAGACGCCCTCCCTGCTGTGCTAGGGCTGTCGCTCTGGCTGACGAGGGTGCTTGTAACGCATGTGCCTGCAACGAAGAGACTTCCAGGCTGGAGAGCGCGGCAGGCTCAGGCCCTTGGTCCGCACACAGCTCATCCTGGTTGGTTCCCCCTGCGCCCGGAGCCAGAAGTCAGCCTCGAGCCCTACCGGCTGTGGCTCAGACACCAAACGACAAGACCTCAGGGTGGGCCGTGTGGGGACACGCGGCAAGGCACCCCCATTCCTGCGCGCTTGCTCCAGCCCTGCCCCCGACGCAGTTCTCAGGGAGCTGTCGCAGACACACCAGGGGCCTTCCGCGAAGGTGGGCTGGCACTGGTGCTCCCGCTCTGGACTCCGTGGACACGCAGCCGTTCCCTGGACCCCTTCAAGGGCAGCCCTGGAAGGTGAAGCTCTGCAGACCCCCCGGGGTCAGTGTGAGGGGGGATGAGAGCCGACGGAAGTGGGTGCTTTAGAGGTGTCTGAGAAGGGGCTCAGGCTCAGGGTGGGAGGGCGGGGCCGAGTGGGACGCGACAGGACCTGGGGACCTAAAGAGGTCCCCCATTTCTCCTGGAGACTTGGCTCTCCAGTAGACAGATGGACGCAGCCCACTGGCGGTGGCTGGGCACAGGCTGGGCGCGCAGGAGGCCTGGGTTCCAGCCCTGCTCTCCCGGCCCCTTCAGCACTGCCAGGAGTGATTCCTGAGCACAGAACCAGGAACAGCTGCCTGAAGGCCCCTAGGCGTTACCAAACCCCACTCCCCGCTAAAGGGGGAAAAGGAAGGGAAAGAAATCAGGGTGGGGGGATCAGAGTAATAATCCAGCAGGGAGGGGGCTTGCCTTGCACACGGCTGGCCTGGGTTCCATCCCCGGCACCCTCCCCTCCCCCCAGGAAAAGCTGAGGAGAGAGCTGGAAGGGCCAAGAGCACGCTTGACCTAGGCATGGTGTGGTTCCCGGAACCTGCAGTCTGGGTGCCGCCCCCCAAGAGATTCTTAAGGGCTCAGCTGAAAAACAACAGAAAACAGCAGGAGCGTTAAGTCAAGGCCCGTCAGCTCCTCAGCTCCTCCGGAGTCCCGGAGTCAGGGCATTGCACCCATTTCCCAGCTTCCAGTGGAGCTGGGGCCTCTGTTCAGAAAACCAAACATGTGTGTGTCCTTAGGCCATGCCCAGCGGTGCTCAGGATGTGACTCTCGGCTCTGTGCTCAAGAGGTGCCAGGCTCCAACACACATAGGTGAGGTGTGTGCCTCCGTGCTCTCTGGCCCTTCCAGGACTGACTTAGTTTGGGCCACACACAGGGTAATTCCTGGCTCCACACTCAGGAATTATTCAGGGGACCATAAGGGACGCTGGGGATTGAACCCAGGTCAGCCACATGCGTGGCAAGTGCCCTCCCCTCTCTACCCAGGCCTTATTTTATTGTGGGTTTCGTGGTGACACTCTGCAGTACTCCGGGGTACTGTGGGGACCCTACAGGGTCAGCCATATACAAGGCAAGCATCTATTTGCTTTGTTTTTGGACATGCCCGCTGTGTGCAGGGAGATCATTCGGGGTGCAGGTCCGGCTAGATGGTGTGCAAGGCGTGTGCCTCAGTCCAGCCTCACGTTAAATGTCCTCAGACATTTCTCTTCGTCCGTTTATAATCTTTTGATGTGCTTGTTTTTGTTCTGGGCCATAGCTGGTCGTGCGCAGGGTTTTGTTCCTGCATCTGCACCCCAGGATCTCGCCTGGCAGGGACCACATGGGGTGCTAGGGCTCACACCTGGGTCAGCTACCCCCAACATGGCACTAGGGCTTCTCCAGGTGGTGTCCAGGGACCCGACATCCAGGGTCAAACCTGGGGTGCCCCTAAGCGAAGCCCTTTGAGTCACCCTCCCTCCTGTTTACAATCTTTGAAATAACTTTCTTGCAAGATTTTCTCGGCAGCTTGGCCAGAGCCTGAGAAGATGCACTTTTGCCCTGAAAGACCAAGGGTGTGAGGCCCCCTCTTAAGGAAGTGTGCACGGAGCCAAGAGTTGGGTGGAGGCGAGGGGCCAAACTTGCGCCCAGCTTGTCCGAACCTTTTCAGGATAATGGGCAGCTTGAGGACGATCCTGGGAAACGCGTCTTGTTAGGACATCCAGAAAAACATGCCAGAAACTGGCAGAAACTGCTGGAGTGTGAAGGAAGTCTGGGCATGAAGAGGGGGTTTTGGTTTTTGCCACACCTGGCGGTGCTCAGAGCTTACTCCTGGCAGCTGGGGGGGGGACTGTAGTGGGTGCTGAGGATGGACACAGGCAGAGGGCCGTGGGCAAGGCCCTCCCCGCTGCACTGTGGCTCCAGACCTGGGCCCGGTAGTCGAGACCTCCCCTGGGCTTCCAATATACAGCCACACCGACAGCTGCCCCTGCCTGGCCAGTGGGGGGAGAAGGCAGCTGGAAGGGAGGCTCAGAGCCTCAGCTGGTTCGTGGCCACGCAGGTCTGTATCCACTTCTTCCAGAACTTTCTCCAGCCAGCCTCCCTTTCCCTGGGCAAGGCCGACCCCACATTGCAGTTCATACCACCACCAGCAGGGGCCGCTGCACTCCAAGTCCTGAGCGAACCACGCACAGAGCAACCGGACCGCAAACACCTCTGCTAGGTCGGGGACCGGTTTACTCCATGGGGAGAGTTGGGGGGCAGGAAATGGGCGTCAGCGCCGGGCGGGGAAGCCATCACGCAGGAATCTCTTTCTCAGGTCTCGGCTCCTTCCTCAGGCCACGGAGAAGGTGAGCCATGTGGTGTGGTTGTACTCCTCGCCGGGCCTCAGCACCACGGGGGGAAAGTGGGGCTGTGGGGGGCGCAGTCTGGTTAAGACCCTGCCATGTGTGACCACCTGGTGACAGGCCGGGGACCCCCTGCGCCCTCCCACCACACTCAACCACCTGGGGACTGCCTAAGCCACGCTCAGGACCACCCCGGGTTCCCTCCTCGCACGCTCGGACCAGCCTGAGCCAGTGGCTGAGTGGCCCACAGTCCTGCTGGCCCGAGGGGCACCACGGCATGTGGGCTGAACCAGGAAGAGAAAGTCTGGGGGACACGTGGACAGGAAGGGTCCCCGAAACCCAGGCGATGCCAGGGAGCATGGGCTGCTGAGGGTGTCTGTCCATCAGTGCCTCTTGGGCGCTGGACTCCGGCAGTGGACTTCCCTGGACGCAGGGTCAGGACAAGCTTTACCTGGTTGACAGCGTCAGGCCAGCTTTGCGTCTCGAGGCAGAGGCCAGAGTGCTTGGGGTAGGTGCTGCCGCCCTTGCCCCGGAGCGTGCCGTCCAGGAAGTTGCCCGTGTAGAACTGGACGCCGGGCTGGGTGGTGGACACCTCGAGCACCCGCCCACTGGCAGCATGGCGCACCCTGGGGACAGAGCTTGTCAAAGGAGGGTCCCCGGGTGCCGGGAGACAGGAGGCGGCGAGCGTGTCCCCACTGGGGTCTTGCAGCTGACTGGGGAAGGCACCCCCTCAGCACTGAGCGGTGGTCCCCACAGGAGGAAAGGCCGGCATATGCCCCAGGCTCGCAGCCCCCTGTGTGCCTTTATGGGGACCCCCCAGCAGGGCCGGGCCGCGGCTCCCCCAGCAGTGCTCAGTCTGGCAGCTCAGTGCGGGGGTCCCAGGGGAGCAGGGCCCTCCTTCCTGGTGCCCACCAGCACCCAGAGCTGCCCCAGACCCCCCACCCAGGCGCCCACCGGGCACAGAACCGCCTCTGTCCAGATCTGTCCAGGCAGAAGTTGTGGTCGAAGCCAGGCAGGCCGAGCTCCTGCAGGCGCTTTCCGAGCTGCACCGGGCTCCTCAGGTCGAAGGCCGTGCCCTGCACCGGGGCCACTTCTCCTGGGGAGGGACAGCGAGAGGGGGTCAGCGTCTGATCCAGGTCTCCTGACCGCCCGGTTGGCCCCGACTGTCCGGGAGCTGCAGACGCCGGAGACTCTGAATTACCCAACTGCGCCCCAGCTCAGTGGGGGACGGAGGCCCCTCCCCAACATCCAACATCTTCAACATCCAACAGCTTCAGTGTCGGGCGACCCGGAGCTCAGGACGGTGAGAGGGGGCGGTGACCGTGGCCGACCTCCCTCGGTCTCTCGGAGCCCTGAGTGTAGACTGAGGAGTAAGCTGGAACACTGCCCCCAAAACCTCCCCACCCCACCCCCATGCACACGCGCATGAACTGGAACCTGCTGTCATGTGACACCCAAGACTTACTCCCCAGACCCTAAATGTGCCCCTAGATGGAGATTCTCAAGCCCCGTGGGGCCAATTCTGCGGAACCGTTAGCCCGAGGGAGCCTGGATCAGCCAGCTGGAACGCGGGTCTGTCACTGGGGCCAGCAGTGCCCGGGACCAAACCTGGGGTTCCCACAGCAGAGCATGGGCTCATCCCCTTAGCCATCCTCCAGGCCCCGTTTACCAAAATTAAAAGCAATTTCTTGGGGGCCGCAGCCAGGATTGCTAAGAGTCTACCCTGGCTCTGAGTTCAGGATCACCCAGTGCTTAGGGGCATTGAGGGGTGTTGGGTGGGGTTCCTGACTGCAAGGCAAGTGCCTTCACGCCTAGATTGTCTTTTTGGCCCGTCTCAAAATGATATGCTCTGTTTTTCCTTTTTTGGTCACACCTGGCGATGCACAGGGGCTACTCCTGGCTCATTCACTCAGGAATTACTCCTGGCAGTGCTCAGGGGACCACATGGGATGCTGCGAATCGAACCCGGGTCGGTCACATACAAGGCAAACGCCCTACCTGCTGTGCCATGGCTCCAGTCCCTGATTATCACTTTTCTTGATTTTTGTTTGTTTGGGGGCCACAGGGAGCAGTGCCCAGAGGACCCGGTGGTGCTGGGCATCGCCCCTGGGCCCCTGCACGCGAAGCCAGTGCTCAGCGCACTGTGCTGTGTCCCGGCCCGTTTCTATTGGTTTTAAGGGAGGAGTCGGGGCTGTCCCTGCAGGCAGGGCCCAGAGCCCCTCAGGCGGAAACTGTTTGCATTAGTGTTTTCCTCTTTAAAGACTGCGCTCGCCTCGAGGGGCAGCGGGGACTGCTGGGGGACTGCTGCTCAGTGGCTGCTAACATGTTCGGGATATTCAAACAGGCTGAATGTCAGGAAACGGCCCTCACAGAGCAGGGGCAGGAAGCTGAGAGACGGTGGGATCTGGCTCCAGGCCGGGCCTGTTGGCCCCAGACCAAACCCACCAGGGAAGAGAGACGGTGCAGAGGCACAGAGGGCTCACTGAGGCCGGAGGGAAGGAAGGTTCCAGACGCTCCCCCACAGTCAAGGCCCAGGGGAGGTGCGGTGGGGAAGGGCCGCGGGGACCCCATCTCTGCTTCCTTCCCGTGTAACTGCAATGTCCTCCCTGTGCCCTGACCCGGTCCAGACTGGCCAAGCCCACTTGGGGAAGGTTCTCAAGTGCCCCCGTGCCCCTGGAAAGACTGACCCCCACCCTGAAGGGCTGGGACACCTCCCGGCTCCCACGCAGTTCGAGTACACTGCCCCCTAACCCTCAGGCCTGCCCAGGGCCCATGCCGGGAGCTCCTGGCAGGAAGCTGTTTCCCAGGTTGGCAAGCCAGGGTGGGGGCGGGCAGCTGTGAAGCGCCTGTTTCCCGAGGCCAAGTCAGAAAGAAAGCTCTAGAAAGGCCCTTCACCAGTACTAGGCAGGGCAGCAGATGAGGCAGAGATGCAGACAGCCTAGGGGAGAGGCCGCCCTGCAGACCAGACCCCACCCACACCCGCGAGCACCTTGCTGTTTGCAGCACTGGGAAAGGGACTAAGAATAGGGGCTTCCCAGGGCTGGGCTGGGGCACCGGAAAGCTGAGTGTCCCCAAAGTGGCCTGGGACAGATCCCTGCAGCTGGGGGTCCCAGGCAGTCGGGAGGGGGTGTTCCCAAGGGGGTGGGCTCAAGGCCAAGGAACACAGGGGCCCTGGGGGGCATTTCTGCTCCCCTGACCTGCTGTTGGGAACAGGAGGGGGAGGGGGTCACTCTGCACAAGGTGGTTGTGGGCGGGGACGGTGCCAAGGGCACTCAGGGGGCAGCTGGGCCCTAGTGGTGTGGAGATGCTCCAAGGTCAGGGGTCAGGTCCCAAGGAGCGTGGGGCCGGGGTGTCAGGGAGCAGGGAGAGCGGTGGCCCGGGGGTGCCCCTGGTGCCCACAGGCCAGCCTTGCCGCAAGCTCTCGCCCGCTGGACCCAGTGCCCGCCAGAGCGAAGGCCGTGCCCACTCACGCCCTCCTCCTGGGTCACCCTTGGCCTTGGCCCCCCATGTCTGGGGATGGCCCCTGCAGTGTTCCGACATTCTCACAGGGGGCAACCCTGCCCTGAGGGGCTCTGTGTCGTCAGACTTGACCACCTCAGTCAGGGACACCAAGAGGCACAGGGACGCTGGGCAAGTTCCAAGGCACCAGACTGGCACCTGTCCTACTCCACACAGGCACTCAGCACAGGGGACTCAGTACCCGGTGACTCTGCATGGGGCTCAGTACCCAGGAACTCCGCACAGGGGACTCAGCACCTGGGGACTCAGCACCCAGGGACTCTGCATGAGGCCTAGCACTCGGGGACTCAGCACCGGGACTCAGAAGCCGGACCGGCACACAGGTCGGCTCAGGAGGGCCTCTGGCTGTCTGCCGACAGGGCTCCCCAAGGCGCTCGCGTCAGGGTGCTCAGAGGCCCCTCCGAGAACAGGGTCTGAGTCCCACCGTCTGGTGGGTCCCACATTGCTGTCCAGGCGGGGCCCTGGGCCCTGAGTGGCCTTGGGGGTCCCTGAAGATGGAGAAGCTGGGGAATGGGCATGGATCAGGAGTAGGAGGGGGGTGACCCCAAACCCACTTTTTCACAGCCTGGGAAGTCCCCTCTGACCTAGAACCCCAACCACGGGGGGTGGGCAGCAAAGATGCAGACACCAGCCCCAGCCTCCCCGCCAGCCCACACCAGGGTTTCTGCACGCAGAGTCCCCGGCCAGGCGCTGGGGAGCCTCTTCCTGTCACACTCGCGGCTGTGGCCACGTCCAGCGAGACGTGCACTTTCTCTGACTTAGTGGCTCACTGTCTGCCCTGGACACTGGACTCACGTCCACCTGAGAAGTGAGCTCTGGGCTTCCGTCCACTCTGGGAGGCCGTGCTCTTTCTCTCTCTCTCTCTCTGTTTCTTTCCCTCACATTTCTTTTTTTTCCTCTTTGGGCCAGACCCTGCAATGCTCAGGGGTTACTCCTGGTTCGGTGCTTAGGAATTACTCCTGGCGGTGTTCAGGGAACCATATGGGATGCTGGGAATCGAACCCGGGCCAGCCACGTGCAAGGCAAACGCCATACAGGCTGTGCTATCGCTCCAGTCCCCTCACATTTCTTTTGGGGCGAGGGGACCCAGCGGGTTGGGGAGGGGTAAGCCACACCCTGCTGTGTCAGGGGTCACTCCTGGTGGCCTCAGGGGACCATAATGGGTGCCAGGGTCGGCCACAAGCAAGAAGAGCGTCCTGCCCACTGAATTATCCCTCCAGCCCTTTCCTCACTTTTCTTTAAGCAAATTTCTTCGATTAAACTATTTGGCTGGGGCTGGAGAGAGCACAGCAGGTAGGGCACTTGCCTGGCGTGCAGGGGATGTGGGATCGATCCGGCATCCCACAGCAGGGCCCCCCGAGCACCATCAGGAGTGACCCCTGACACAGGGCCAGGAGTAAGCCCTGAGCAGCACTGGGTATGGCCTCCGCCAAAAATACACGAACTTATTTCACTAGAAACAAGACATAAAGAACACGTTGGAGCACCCTTGGGGAGAGCGGAGTCATGTCAGCATGGCCTTCGGGGTGCTCCCACCTCATCCTCCGTCAGCTGGAGGCCCCAGAGCAGCACCGGTGTCCACTGGGGATGGGGCCTGGACACCGGGCCTCCCACCCAGTGTCGACAGTAGACAGGGGCGCAGCAGGAGAAGCCCTGCCACGGCCCACAATCAGCTGGACACGACACACGGGGGCTGTGCTTGGAGAAAGTCGGATTATGGGTTGCCTTGGGGTCAGTGTCCCGCAGACAGCTCACAGCAACAGTCACACCCTCAGCAGGGGACAGGACCTGAGGCAGGGGAGCCCCCCAGCCTGACCCAAGGGGCTGTGGGGGGAGCACGCTGAGTCCCACACGCCAGCCGAGGGACCCTCCTGTCAGCTCTGGGCGTGGGGCGGAAGTGACACAGTCACTTTCTAACAGATGCACATGGGGGCGGGTGATGCAGGGAGCCCGTCTGGGCCTGCCTCCCAAGTGGGGGCTGTGGGGGGACACCCGAAGGTGCTCAGGGCTTCTCCCGGGAAGTGTGTGGATGGAGCCTGACCCCAGGCAAGGCACATGCTCTGCCGTGCGGCTCTGTCCCCGCCCGAAAAAGGACTTTGTTGTTGTTGTTTTTCAAGTGAAAACCCAGCAGGACCTGATGACTAAGGGGACGGGGGCAGGAGGAAACGGAAAATGAAGCAGTGATGGAGGCCAGGATAACAGTCAACACTGGAGTCCTGGAGAAGGCAGGAAGGAATTCCGGCAGGAAACAGCAGACAGGAAATCAAACGCGTCTTACTTTCACTGTGCTCGGGGCGGAATGGGCGCTGAGCCAGCGAGCACTGTGGGAGCACCGTGAGAGCACCATGAGCCACGTCTCAGGCTTCTCAGAGCCTGGAGGGAGGAGCAACCCCTGGCCAGAGCAGAGCGCAGCCCCCTTGACCTCCCTCCGCAGCCCTGTGGTCAGTGGCTGATCCTTATCGCTTCAGACACAGAGAGCAGGTGGGGGACAGAGCCCTGGGCCACACGCTGTCACCAGCAAGCCGCAGCCAGCCAGGCTGGGCCCCCAGCACTGCAGACAATGCCTCGGCCTCACTCTGGCTCGAGCCAAGAATAGCCCCTGAGCAGTGCTGGGTGCCTTCCTGCCACGCCAGGAGTCTCTGCAGCTAGAAAGACGGTTTCTGAAAGGCAGAGCCACAGCATGTCCACTACCCCTTATTTGGGGCTTTTTTGGGGGGTATTTTTTTGTCTTTCTGGGCCACACCCAGTGGTGCTCAGAGGTTCCTCCTAGCTCTGCACTCAGGAACTACCCCTGGCAGTGCTGAGGGGACCCTATGGGATGCCAGGGATCGAACCCAGGTCAGCACAGATGCACAACCCACTGGACTATCACTCCAGCCCCAAATTTGTTTTTTAATTCATTCCCCATGATTTCAAAATCATGGGGCAATCAGAAGCACCCGTGGCATGAGATCTCCTCAGGGCTGGGCCCAGTTCACGCCTGCACACTCAGGGTCACTCCTCATGGGGCTCAAGGGACACACTTGTTGGGGGGAACCCAGGTCAGCCACCTGCATGGCCAGTGCCTGCCCACTGTGCTCTGCCTCAGACCCCACCAAGCCACTGATGTTTACAGCCGTTCAGCCAAGTCTGAACCCCAGAGCACTACCTCCTGTTCCCTGAGGAATCTTCCGGGAGTGACTCCAATTCTTCCTCTTCGATAAGGAACTGAGAGCACCGACTACAGGCTAAGGCCTCATGCCACAGCAGCGGCTCTCAGCCTCTTCAAGTCCACCTCACCCCCACCAGGAAGTGGGCTTGGGGTCCAGCCCAGTTCTGACCAGCCGGATGTTGACAGTTCAGGAACCCGAGAGTCTGGGGAAATGACCCCAGAGCCTGGGGGAGTCAGCGGGGGCTGGCCTGACCCTGTATTCTGCTTCCTCTGGGCTGGAGGCAGAGCGGGGGCCACAGTGCTGCGGGGAGGGGCATTCCCAAATGGCCAGATCCCCACACTCAGACCCGCTCCCGGGCTCTGGTCAGAGTGCAGCACTGGGACTGTGGTCCCGGCATGCTTTGGCGGGCATCGTCCGCCGCCAAAGGAATCGTGTGACCAGTAGGTTTATAAGCATTTCGGGAAAGGAGGAAGAAACCCCGTTTCTCCACCCTCAGGAGGGGATGCTGGGGCCCAGGAGGGAGAACCTGGCTTTCCTGAGCTCAGCCATGAGGGTGAAAGCAAGGCAAGTCCTGGCACACCACTGTGAGCCAAGTCAGCCAGCACCACACTCTCCAGTACCCCACAATCACACACACATACATGCACACGCATGTCGGCACCACACACACAGATACATATACCCAGGTGGTCACACAACTGTGCATACACACACACACACACACACACACACAACAACACCATGCACACACCCCACACATATACACAGGCACTCTACAACCATGTACACACACATACACATGTAAGCACCATGCACACGTATGTGCAACACATCACACACTACATAGGCACTCACACAACCGAGCACTGGCACGCACCATGAGCACAGACACACTATGCGTACACACACGTGTCTCAGGGGTGGCCTCTGCCTGCCGTCCTCTCGGACCCTACGTGTCCTGTCTGGTGTGTCCCACAGACGGGTGGCTTGAGTCTTGGCCAGCAGGCATCCTGGAGTGTGGGCTGGGTGGCATTTGGCCCGGCTTGGTACCTGCAGCCCTGGCTGAATTCGTAGTGTTCCACACTAAGTGTACCACCCCGTCCCTGTCCCCTCTGTGTGGGGTCCAGTGGAATTCGTTTGTTTTGGGGGGCCACGCCCAGCGATGCTCAGGGAATACTCCTAGCTCTGTGCTCAAGTATCACTCCTAGCAGTGCTCGGGGAACCATAAGGATGCTGGTGACCAAACCCAGTCGGCCATGGGCCAGGCCAGTGCCCTCCCGCTGTGCTATGGCCCTGCCCCTCAGTACACTGTACGCTGTCCTGCTTGGGAAGTTCAACTCTGCGGCAGAAGCTCAACCAAAGTAGATCATGTACACAGTGACACAGGGATGCAAAGCCCGCCAGGAATCAGGCCCCCACGGCGCCTGCCCAGACACTCCGCTCACCGACCTGTAGGGATCAGGTTGGCGTCCACTGGCAGGAAGGCATCGGCCGCGATGGTGACTTCGTGGTCGTATACATCAGGGGACCCCTGCAGGGGAGAGGGACAGGAGCGTTCAGGCACTGTGGAACCGGGGAGCGCGGGGGAGGGAGATGGTTAGGAGGTTCACGTGGGTGCAGGGGGGTGGGACCTCCATACGGCAGCCAGGAAACTGTGCACTGTCAGGTGAGACCCCGGGCGTGTCCCGACGGCCTCCCACAGCATGTGACTGGGAGCTGCAAGCAGTACAGGGTGGAGAGGGCACTGGACACACCCCACCTGGCCACCTGCCGCACACTGCCTCCAGCTGGGTAGAACCGGGCCATGGAGACAGGCCGCCAGCGGGGCTCGACTGGGCACCACGAGGGCTCACGCTGCAGCCCGCTACGAGCACGGCCAGGAGCAAGGACCAGGGCGCAGGAACGCTGCGCTCCGGGGCCCACACGCCACCGCGGGGTCACAGCACCCAAGTGGACGCACAGAGTGGCAAGGCCAGGCGGAAGCACACGGCACCCCTCGGCAGCTCCGTTTCCTGCTCGCGCTCCTGGGCCGGGACAGGTGCAAGGGTGCGAGGCGACGCTGTGCGACAAGCCCCCAGACACGTTTCTGCTGTTGGCCACCACCCGGCTCGGGGGGCGCTCACTCCTGCAGGAGTCAGCACCAGGCCCGGGACCACCCCAGCAAGGCAAGGGCCCCCCGCGCTGCTCTCTCCAGCTCCTCCTTTCTTTTCCTCTTCTGTTATTGGGCCACACCCAGTGGTGCCCAGGACTTACTCCCCCCCACTCTGCACCCAGGAATCACCTCTGGCAGGACTCAGGGAACCATACGGGGTGCCAGGGATCGAACCCTGGTCGGACACAGGCAAGCAAATGCCTTCCCCACTGTCTTAGGATTCCAGCCCTGAACTTACTTATGAAAGTGAGCACTTGGGCCAGAGCAAGAGTACGGTGGGGATGGCATTTGCTTTGCCCAAGCTTCAATCCCTGGCACCTCATACGGTTCACGGAGCACTGCCAGGAGTGATCTCTGAGCACAGAGCCGGGAGTAAGCCCTGAGCACCCCCAGGGCTACCCCATACCAAAATAAATAAGCAAATGAAAATGGGCTCTTCAGGAGTGCTCATGTGGTGCCCTGGGGCATTCTTGGGCCCTCGTTTCTTCTGTAGGATTTTGAGACTGGGGAAATTTCTGGAGAGAGGGGGCCCTCTTGTCTCCCAAAAGGAACAACTTCCAATGGGCAGTAGGAAACCAGGCCGGGAGGCTCCCGGACGGTGCTGAGGGCCCAACGCAGCCCGAAGCCTCCGTGCAGGCGGGAGGAGCGGGGGGCTGCTGGGACTCCTGCTTTGGGCCCATCTAGCGCCAGGTGGCTGCGAAGCTTCCGGTGTCCGTCGGTCACTCCACCGAGTCTGACAGCGTGGTCCGGGCAGGCAGCTCCCGTGTGAAACAGGCCTCCTTCCCCGAGAGCCTGTGGGGTGTGTCTGCTCCAGGAGCGTCATTCTGCTGCCTTCCTTCCCTTTGGTGTCACTGCCCTCGTGCGGGACCCTCAGATGCGGGGGTTCCCAGATGGCCGCTCCGGCCTGAGTCCCAGGGGTGGGCGTGATGGGCAAGGCGGGGCGGGGAGCCTGGCGCAGAGACGGCCAGGTGAGGAGACCGCCAGGTGCGGAGACCACCGGTGACAGCACCAGAAGGGGCGGGGCGTCCACATTTCCAAAGAAAGACCTCGTTGGAAAGCGTCTACTGGGACATGGTGGGGGTGGGCGAGTGTGGGCACAGGGCGCAGATGCCAGCTCCATCGTGTCATTACATAACTGTCCTGGGACGCAGGGGGAGACGAGTTCGGAAATAGCGAGTTAGTCATCGAGCATATGGGAAACCGAGCCACTTGGCAGACAGTCAGCCCCCGTCTTGGCCCAGAACTGTCATTTATTGAGCACCTACTATGTACCAGCTGCTCTTCAGGCACTCTGCATCTCGGTGAGGGACGACTTCCTGCCAGAGGGTGGCATTTGGGGGTCGCTCTGCCACCCGACCCTCCGTATGTCAGAGTATCTTAGGCAGGCAGCACGCCCTGCCATTCCGGAAGGACCCTCCCCACCCCTCACCCCTGACACGCACACACACACACACACACACACACGCACGCACGCACGCACTTACCTGGCCTGCCAGGTTGAAGTAGGAATGGTTGGTGAGGTTGACTGGGGTGGGCCGGCTGGTCTGCGCTCGGTAGTTGATTGTGAGCTCACCACCATCCACCGTGTAGGTCACCCAGACCTTCAGCTCGCCGGGGTAGCCTTCCTCCCCATCCGCACTGACCCGTGAGAACTGGACGCCATTGGGCAGCACCTTCGGGGACCAGAGCACCTGGCGGAGGTTTCAGATTTGGGAGCTGTCCAAGCGTAACGTGTCTCCCTCTCCCTTTCTCCTCCCTTCCGCCACTCCCAGGTGTGCCCAGGGGCCACTCTTGGCTCACTGCTTGCGGGACACTTGGTACACGGCATTGGGGGTCAAACCTGGGCCCCCTGCATCCTTGGGTCTGTCTCCCGGCCATAAGAGAAGCTTTCTAAGGTTTTATTTGTCTTGGGGCCACACCCTGCAATGCTCAGGAGCACTGAGCCCGCGCGGCTGCCCCATCCTGCCCGATCAGGAATGGGGTGACCCCAGCCCCCCTCGATGCCTGGGCAACGGACCTGTTGTGACCATGAGACTGTGTGTGCGCATGTCCTGGGCCGTCCTGAGCTGAATCCTCACTTCAGTCACCATTTTTTGTTTGTTTTGGGGACACACCTGGCAGTGCTCAGGGTTTACTCCTGACTCTGTGCTCAGGGTGCCATATGGGGTGCTGGGATCAAACCAGGGTCGGCCCTGTGCAGGGCAAGCGGCCTCCCCTCTGCCCGATGGCTCTTTCCTTAGAGGGGAAGGACACGGCGGGACGGAACTTGGGGCTCTGCACTGCGACGCAGGTGGCCTCTGAGAGCCGTCTCCTGGATAAACCATTGCTTGGGGCCAAGGAGACGACGTGAAGTGCTGGACACGTGCTGGACACAGGGGCCGGGCTCAGAGTAGCTCCACAAGCAGCCGTGGTCCCCCAGACACAGAGCCCGCAGCCAGCCCCCCGAAAATACCAAGACTAGATCATTCTGAGGGGAGGATTTGGTTTCATCAAACAAGGTCACTCCTGTAGCTGCCGACCAGTCAGTCGTGCGTGGGCCAGCTAATGTCACTGCCCATTTTTCAAAGGCTGGGACCTGTCCACGTGCGACCCTCCCATGCCAACGTGCACGAACCCCTCCCTCTTTTTTTTTTTTTGCTTTTGGGGTCACACCCGGCTATGCTCAGGGGTTCCTCCTAGCTTTGCACTCAGGAATTACTCCTGGCGGTGCTCAGAGGACCATATGGGAAGCTAGCTGGGACTCGAACCCGGGTCAGTCACGTGCAAGGCAAATGCCCTCCCCCTGTACTATCCCTCCAGCCCGCTTCCTCCCTATTTATGATGGGAAAATCTTGTCAAAAGTCCCCCTAGGGGGTTGGACGCAGCCCTGGGGAGAAGACACTGGCCTTCATCTCTGCAGCTGCTGCCAGTCCCCTGAACACCGCCAGGGGCACCGCTGGGCACAGCCAGAAGACCCCCGAGCACCACCGGGTGTGGCCAAGCACCCCCCAACGCAGGCCCAGCCGGGCCATGTCACCTCTCTTGGACATCTCTGTTCACGTCTCTGCTGCCCGCTCAGGAGCGAAGTGGACAGGAAGGTGGGTGGGGTGGGCCCCCTGAGCCCCCGACCCACCCCCACCCCACCCCACCCGCCTGCCTCTCCCGGACAAGAACAGGGTGCCGGCCTTCCCAACAGGGAAAGCTGTTGGCATTTGAAACCAACGCGCTGATCTTAGTCAGAAATTAATTTTATACCCTAATTATCTCCCAGAAATGTTGATCTCTCAAGATACTTAAAATACAAAGCTTGGCATATGTGCGATTAAGACAAGGGGGGAAGAATCCCCCCAATGGAAAAGTTTAGCAAAAACATATTTGAAATAATATTCTTTCCTTCGGGAAAAGGAAAGAATGGAAAGATTTGGGGCACCCAGGGAACGTTTGGGCTCCTCCCGAGAAGTGCTGGGGACTCCCAGTCCCCCGGGGGTCCCTCCTGGTGGGTCCCAGCCAACTGTGGTACCGGGGACCGACCAGGGTCTTCCCTGTCGGAGGCAAGTCCTTGACCCCTGTACTTTCTCTCCAACCTCACAGCGGAAATCTCGGGGTGGGGACTATAGGGTCCAACCCCAGGGCTCAATACCGGATTGACCCTACCTGTGGGGCTACTGCTCCAGCCCCTGGTAGTGGATTTTATTTTATGTTACTTTATTTATTTTTTTTGGGGGGTGGTCACACCCAGTGATGCTCAGGGGACCCTACGGGATGCTGGGAATCGAACCCGGATCCACCGTGTGCAAGGCAAATGCCCTCCCTGCTGTGCTATCGCTCCAGCCCCTGATGGATTTTAATCCACTTGCCCTTTACCCCTCCCTGGCCTCTGCCCCTCCCAGGCCAGAACAGAAGGGGGCCACGATCTGCTGGCACCCCCAGGTAAGCGGGAGGGGTTCACTGGGGGGGCCAGGCGCGGTCTCACCTTGTCAAAACCCCGGAAGCCGCCGTGTAAGCTGTTGGGCTCCCGGTTGATGGGCAGCTGGTACTCCTTCCCGTCCAGCTCGAAGCGGCCTTTGGCAATCCTGTTGGCGACTCTGCCCACCACCGCTCCGAAGTAGGGCTGCTTCTGGAGGTACCCTGCAAGCAAGGGGGGGGGGTCTCAAAGACTTCCATCCAGGGGCCGGAGCGATAGCACAGTGGGGAGGGCGTTTGCCTTGCATGTGGCTGACCTGGGTTCAATCCCCTGCATCCCACACGGAAGGTCCCCCGAGCACCGCCAGGGCTAATTCCTGAGTGCGCAGCCAGGAGGAACCCCTGAGCATTGCCGGGCGTGACCCCAAAATAACAGGAAAAAGATAGTTCGGGGCCAGAGAGCTCGCTCCAGGGGTCAGGCAAGTGCTCTGCTCGTGTGAACCCCTGGTGTGATCCCCAGAATCACATGGTTCCTGAGCACCGCCAAGAGCAACCTGTGAGCACAGAGGCAGGAGTAGCCCCGGAGCACCCTCGGGTGTGGCCCCCAAGATGAAACACAGACACCGCAGACCAAAGGGAAGCCCGCTCAGCTCCAGCCCCTCTCCCTGCGACCCCCAGGGAGCGGAAATAGGTGCATGGGGGCCGTTCGGGGGCATTTCCACTCCTGGACTTAAAACACTAAGTTATAGTTGACACAACATGGCACAAGGGGACTTCAGGGGTGCTTGCAGCGAGCCTGCAAGACAGCCAGAGCCACCGAGCTCAGGGTTCTACCCAGAGGTGCTGGGGTACGGGGGGAGGACTTGGTTCCACTTGCAGGTGAAGGGGACCTTTGACCCCAGAGCTTATCTCCTGGCACCAGGATATCAGTGTAGGGTTCTTGTTCTGTTTAATCCGCTGGTGCCCGACTTGCCCTGGACTCCTCCCGTGCCACAGGGTTATTCCAAGTGGAATCAACAACCTCAGGGGTTCCAAGGAAGAAGCTGGAAATGGCGTCAGCCTCAACCACAGTGCAGGACGCGGCTTGGAGGCTTGGATTTACTCAGTCCCGGGACCTGAAGGAACAAAGCTGAGGCCTGGACCAGAGTCCTCCAGTGACTGGGTTTAAAAGGGGCGGCGGGGGGGGGGGGGGTGGTGGTGGTGGGGGGAGGGGCTGGAGCAATAGCAAAGTGGGTGGGGTGTTTGCCTTGCACACGGCCAACCCGGGTTCGAGTCCCAGCATCCCATATCGTCCCGAGCACCACCAGGGGTAATTCCTGAGCGCATGAGCCAGGAGTGACCCCTGTGCATCGCCGGGTGTGACCCAAAGAGCAAAATATAAATAAATAAATAAATAAATAAATAAAAGGGGGGCGGGGCAGGACACCAGAGCTACCCCCAGGAAGGCAGATTTTCCAGAAGCTCCAGCCTTAGTTTTATAGCTGAAAACTTCTATTTTCTTTTTCGCAGTACCAGGGATTGAACCCAGGATTGAGACCAGGCGAGGTTTGCTGGCCTCATATCCCCACTGTTCTTCGCTTTCTGTTCTGCCACGGCAGCACTGGGGGGGGGGGCATCGGTGCTCGTGGGGGACAGGGAGGAAGATGGTTTACACCTCGCAGCAAAGTCTACTGCGGTTGAGAGCAGAGCTAGCGACTGTAGGTGCTAAGTGCAGGTTGAAAACCTTAAAAAAAAGAGGTAAGAACATTTTTGCAGAAAGTATGAGGACTCTCCAGTCTGGAACTGAAGATGGTGTGAGTCAGCACTATAGAATTCCAAGGCAGAAAAAGCTCAGCTTTCCAGAGAAAGGAACGCTCTGACCTCTGGTCATGGCCCGGAGCCAGGGAGTTTATGAAACCTGGGAACCGGACCCGGTTCACATGGGACCGCAGCACAAAAGGTTCGTGTTGCCTGTAATTGTCTGCACTCGGATCTTGCTGTCTTGTCAAACTATGGCCTGTAATTTGTTTTGATAGCATTCTGCTATTCAAGCATTAGAAAAGGACAAGTAATGGGGCTGGAGCTATAGTACAGTGGGTAGGGCGTTTGCCTTGCACGCAGCCGACCTGGGTTGCTGGATTCCCAGCACCCCAGATGGTCCCCTGAACACCACCAGGCCAGGAGCAACGCCTGAGTGCAGAGCCAGGAGTAACCCCTGTGCATCACCAGGTGTGACCCCTGCTACCCCCCCAAAAAAAAGAACAAGTAAGGAAAGCTGGGTTTCCTTCAGTCCCTGAAAACCAACAACCCACAATCCTGACTCAGTGCAAGGCAAGCACTGTGGGGGCCAGGGAGATGGCTCAGTGGTCATAGGCATGGGAATTTCAGGCGCAGCGACCTGAGTTTGATCCCTGGCACTGCATGGACTCTGGGCACAGCTGGGTGGGGAACTGGTGGTCCCGTACTGGGACCTCAACCTCAAACTGTCAACACCTCCAGACCCCCTAGCACTGCTTAAGATCCATCAAAACAAACACAGTCCCCAGTCTCGGGTTTCTTTGGGCTTGGGTTTGGGGCCACACATCCCCTGAGTGGGGCATGGGGGCTACTCCCTGGTCAGTGCTGAGGGTGCCGTGGGGGCAGCCCCCAGTGGTGCTGAGGTCAATCTGGGACCTCCTGCTTGCAAAGCTGCACCTGGCTTATTGAACATAGCCTCCAGGCCTGGACACGGCCTCCAGGCCTGAACAGGGGCTGGGAGGGGGCACAGACTGGGTTACAGTCAGCTCTGCTCAGGGCTTACTCCTGACTGCACTCAGCAATCACTCTTAGTGGTGTTAGAGGGACCATACGGGACACCGGGAATCAAACCGGGGTCAGCCACGTACAAGGCAAGAGACCTCCCTGCCATACTAGTGCCTGGTCCCTGAACATGGCTTGTTAAACTCCAGAATCCGATGGAGAGGTGGTCCAGGGGTGAAGGCACTGGCCTTGCATGAGGCTGACCCAGTTCCATCGCCAGCACCACACGTGGTCTGAGCAGCACCGTGAGTGGCCCCAGGGCAGAGGCAGGAGCCCGACCCTGCAGCATGTGGCCCCCAAGCCAATAACGAACGAAATTGATGGCAAGAACAATGTCAGGGGCCTGTGCCTCCATTCTGAACGGGACAATCACGCTTCCTGAACGACCCCAAAGCCTTCTTTGTCATGGCACTATTTAGGGAAACCCTTTAAAAACAAATAAATCAATAAAAAGGAAGACTGTCTTAAGGAACGATTGTCATAACCATAGCGAACTCGCTAGGATGCCTGACTTCGTCCTCCGGAACAGCACGGCGGGGGTGGGGGGGGTTCTGAGTAACCCCTGGTGGTGTGCCTGGGGTTTGCTCCGGGGTGTCCTGGGGCAAACCGGGTGGCATCAGGACTGGGCCCTCACCTTCTGCACTCGCCCTGCTGACCTACATTCCAGCCCTGGGAAATCACTCTCGGTCCTGCCACAACCATTAACTACACTGAGCAGAGGAATGCAAACTCGGCCTGATGGATCCAGGACCTAGAATATTCTCCATTTCTCTGCTTCCACTTAGGCACTCTGTAAAACCAGGGCGGGGAGATGGCCTGAAAGCAGATGCCAGCCTGGGCGGGCCGACCCCCTTCCTCCCCAGGGGCCACTTCACAGCTGGGCACTCCAGGCTCCGGGCTCCGGCCGCTGAGGCAGGGCTGGAGGCGCAGAGGTAAGGTGAAGGAAGGGATCAGATTCCGGACCTGTCCCCAGTCCAGAGACACATACCAGCCCTCTCCTTCTCCTGTTTAGACCTTGGGGGGGAGGGCGGGGGGGCACGGCACGGAGCAATAGCACAGCAGGTAGGACATTTGCCTTGCACACAGCCAACCCAGGTTCGAGCTCCAGCATCCCATATGGTCCCCCGAGCACCGCCAGGAGTGATTCCTGAGTGCAGAGCCAGGAGTAACTCCTGTGCATCGCCGGTGTGACCCAAAAGAGAAAAAAAAAAAGGGGCTGGAGCGATAGCACAGCGGGTAGGGCGTTTGCCTTGAACGCAGCCGACCCGGGTTCGATTCCCAGCATCCCATATGGTCCCCTGAGCACCGCCAGGAGTAATTCCTGAGTGCAGAGCCAGGAGGAACCCCTGTGCTTTGCCGGGTGTGACCCAAAAAGCAAAATAAATAAATAAACAAAATCTGTAAAAAAAAAAAAATAAATAAAAATGATCATGTGGGGACAGTATTTCCTCCCCACAAACTCCCACAGGAGTCAAGGCATCAGGACCTCTCGGGCACTGTCTCCCACACCTCGCACCTTCGGGGCTGGAGAGAGGACAGGGGTTAAGTAAGGCTCTCGCCTTGCCCGCAGCTGACCCAGTTTCAGGCCCTGCACCTCCTAAAGTCCCCTGAGCACCTCCAGGAGTCATCCTGAATGTGGAGCCCAGAGAGTGACCCCTGAACACTGCTGTGTGGCCCCGTAAAAAAGTGGGCGCTCCAGCTTATCAGCCCTAATTTTTTACCTAAAATCCCAGGCCAGGGCCCCAGTTTTCCTTTGACTCCACCAGGCACTTTACCCCCGTGAAGGACCTCTCAGGGGCTGGGGATGCAGAGGCAGTGCAGGGGTTAAGCTTGTGCGCCGCAAGTGGCAAACCCGGGCTCGATCCCTGACATGGCATACAGTCCCCGAACACTGATGTCCAAGAGATTCCGAACCAAAACGACCAACAATCTCTTTGTGACTTTCCCACTTAGGAGTGCTCGGGGACTGGGGGAGATGGCCCAGAGGTTGGCGCATCTGCCTAGCAAGCGAATGGTTCAGAGTTCAGATCCAGGGGTCACCACACACGCCCAGTTCAATACCCGTTGGTGAGGCCGGAGCCACGAGCGATTTCTAGCCCCGCTACAGCCAGGCTGTAGGTGGTCTGTCTGCAGCCTAAAAGCGTCGAGCCCTGGGCTAGTCACAGTCACAGCCCGGGCAAGCCCCACCCCCAGGCTGGGAAGCGGAGCCCCTCACGCCCACGACCAGTACAGCCAGGTCACCCCTGACCCCAGCCCCAACAGAGGGCAGACCTCAGCAGGCACCCCATGGAGGGGTGCCACACGCTACAGAGAAAGCGGTCAGGCCGCAGACTGGCTCAGCCAAAACACACTCTTCCTGCTGGCATCCCTCCCGACACAGCAGAAACCTGCAGCCCACCCGGGACATTGGAGCGGTCTGCAGCTCATCTCCCGGACCACTGCACCTGGCCACCAGAGCCTCCTCAAACTGCCTCAAGAACTCTGAGGGAGGGGGCTGGAGCAATAGAACAGCGGGTAGGGCGTCTGCCTTGCACGCGGCCGACCCGGGTTCGATTCCCAGCATCCCATATGGTCCCCGGAGCACCGCCAGGAGTAATTCCCGAGTGCAGAGCCAGGAGTAACCCCTGTGCATCGCCAGGTGTGACCCAAAAAGCAAAAATAAATAAATTAAAAAAAAGAACTCTGAGGGCTGGGGCGACAGCACAGTGGGGAGGGCGTTTGCCTTGCATGAGGCTGACCTGGGTTCGATCACTGGCATCCCATATGGTCCCCTGAGCACCACCAGGAGTAATTCCCGAGTGCAGAGCCAGGAGTAACCCCTGTGCATCGCCAGGTGTGACCCAAAAAGAAAAAAAAATCCCTCTGAGGGGCCAAAGCAGTTGTAGAGCAGGGAGGGCGCTTGCCTTGCGCACGGCTGACAAGGGTTAGACCCCCAGCACCCTGAGTCCTGCTAGAAGCGACCTCTGAGCAGAGCGTGAAAACAGGGGCTAGACTCATAGTACAGGGGGAGGGTTGGGCCCAATACCCGGCACCCCATATGGTCCCCAGAGCACTCTGAGCCCTGCCGGGTGAAGCCCCAAAACAAACAAACACCAAAACAAAACAAAATTCCTCTGAGTCATAATCCTCCGGGCCAGGCTGCCCGGGGCTTTGGGGAGAAAAAATAAAAGATAGCCAGAGAGCCAGGCCTGGGAATCTTCCAAAATATCCTTTGCTTGTTTGTTTTTGTTTGGGTCACGCCCCTCAGTGCTCAGGTGTTATTTCTGGCTCTGAACTCAGGAATTATTCCGGGTGTTCGGAGAACCAAACGGGGTTTTAACATGGCTGGGCCGCATGCAAGGCAAGTGCCCTACCTGCTGTACTATTGCTGTGGTCCAGAATATTCTTTGTAAAAAAAAAATTGTGGGGGCTGGGATTCGACCTCTTGCATCCCATATTGTCCCCCAAGAACCATCAGGAGTGACCTCTGAGCGCAGAGCCGGGAGTGGTCCCTGAGCATCGCTGCGTGTGCTCCCAAGACAAACAACTGTAGTGCAGAGAATCAAACAGAGCCTTATCTAGGGGCTCATGCCCCCGCCCCCGTCCTTAGCACCCTTAAAATGCCTTCTGCCAAAGAATTGGGGGGTTTCCTCCAGATCCCCAACCCCCAAGGCCACTACTCCACAGAATCAGAACCTTGAACCTTGACACCCCGAGAACGCCTCGAGCCCCTGCCGCTGCAGTCTGGCCACCATCTCCTCTGTCCAGCTTCCGCGGGCACCCCGAGCCAGGCCCCAGCAACCCATTCCCCCCCCAAACCACGGCTCTCCGGCTCGGGTTTGTCTTTTCAGCCAACCTGGCCCATTCCCAGACCCTGAGGAGGTCCCCAGCTTCCCTTGTGATCCCTGCAAAGCCAACAGTGGGGGTGGAGGGACAGCACAGTCCCTTGAGCACCGCCAGGAGTAATTCCTGAGTGCAAAGCCAGGAGTAACCCGTGTGCATTGCCGGGTCTGACCCAAAAAGCGAAAAGAAAAAAGAAATTAACGGTGTTTGGGAGCTGGAGCGATAGTACAGCGGGTAGGGCGTTTGTCTTGCCCGCCACCGGCATGGGTTCGATCCCCAACCTCCGCGACGGTCCCTCTAGCACCTCCAGGAGTAACTCCTGAGCATGGCTGGGTGTGACCCCGGCCCCTGAAGAATAAACAAGTATATCTATTTTTTAAGAAATGAAATCAACAGTGTTTGAACACGGGGACTGCCCCAGGATTCCAGGGAGGGCATGAACGTCCATCCTGGCCAGGAGACAAGGTCTGGCTGGTCTGGCTCTGGGACAGCCGGCGGGGGGCTGGACACTCCCCGGGCGAGCCCCCGCCGATGGGCCGCGGGCATGGGCCCCCCCCCCCACCCCGGGCTGGTGGGGATTTTCCAGTGCTTGGGGCAGTCAGGCCTGGAGGGGCGAGTGAGCTGCAGGTGGAAGAGGAAGTCGGGGCCGGAGGAGGGGCTGGGCCACAGTCGGTCCTCCCCGGCCTGCGCGCGCGCGCGCGGGGCAGAGATCGGGCCGGGGGTGCGGCCAGCGCGCGGCGGCCCCTCCGGACGGCGCGGGCCCGGCTCGGGCCATCGGGCCACTCTCCGGGCCGCCGGGCTTTCCCGCTCGGGGCCGGGGCGGGGTGCGCGGGGAAGTGCGGGCGCCGGACGGGGTTGGCGCGGCCGGGCGCGGGCGAGGGGGCGCGCGGGGCAGTGCGCGGGGCAGTGCGCGGGGCGCGGGGCTGTGCGCGGGGCGCGCGGGGGGCGCGGGGCCCGCCCCCACCCACCTTCCAGCTCCGCGAAGCCCAGCACCACGTCGGCGGCGCGGCCCTGCCTGTCCTGGACCTCCAGGGCCGAGATGGTGCAGCCCCAGGAGAGGACGTCCACGCGCAGCTGGCCTGTCCGCAGCTGGAACTTCTCCACCGTCCCCGCCCCGTCGGGCAGGGCCCCGAACACGGTCCTGGTCACCGAAGCCATGGGGCGGGCGCGCGGGCTCTGCCGACTCCGCCGGGCGCGGGGCCCAAGTGCCCGGGACGGGGTGTGCCCGGCCCCGGCTCCGCCCCCGGGATCCGGCCGGCCCGTCGCCACGAGGGTCAGCGGGCCCCAGGGCGCGCCCACGTGGACGTGCCGCCTGGCTGCCCCGCCGCGGCCGGACCTTGGCCTCGGCCACGTGGCGCTTGGCAGGTGCGGGGCCGCTGGGCTGGCCGGACTCGCAGCAGCCCCCGCCTCCCGGGGCCAGGGGCCTCAAGGTGACCCCCGAGGTGGCCGGCCCGGCCGGCGGATCGGGGATGCGGGGGTCGCGAACGGGCGGCGCGGAGGGGTCCGGGCGCCCTCCCGTGCCGCAGCCCTCTCCGGAGATTGAGGGGCAGGGGGTCAGCGCGACCCTCCTCTGCTTCCCACCCCCACCCCGTTGTCCCCTCCCAGCTGCCCCGTGGCTTGGCGTGTTTCTGGGCCGTTGTTCGCGCAGCCGAAACTCCTGTAAGACTGGATGGAGGGAACAAACTTGCATGCCTTTCCTGAAAAAACAAAACGGAAAACCGGTTTCCAATCTCCATCTCTAGGAGCTGCAAGGAACAAGGGAGGCCAGCAAAGGCCATGAGCACTGGGCCATCTCGGGAAGGTCAGGGGGCGCCGCGGACGGTGCGCGGGACAGCACAGGGACCCGCTGGAAAGATGGCCCAGGGGCTGGGGTCTTGCACAAGTTGACCTGATCCCCGGCATCCTGTGTGGTCCTTGGGTGCCGAGCAGGAGGAACGCCTCAGCATTGCTGGGGGTCCCAAATCCCCCCCAGAGAAAAAGTGGGGTGCCCGGGAGAGAGAAGGAATCTGCCTGCAAGTTCAGAGGTCCATGAGAAGGTGGACCTCCTGTCCCCCCAGCGCTGGCTGCAGGGAGGATGGGCCCCAGGCAAACGATCCGGTTGCCCCTGGGCGGAGGGAACCGGCTGGGCACTCTGGGAACCTCCTCTGCTTCTCAGCTTCGGTTCCAGAATGCACCAGAATGGGGGCGGGGCAGGGATTCTGAAGGTGAAGGAAGAAGGGGACTTTGCCTTAGGCTTTGGGGGAAGGAGAGAAGCAATAAGCCGAACTAATCTCCTGAGGCTTTGCCTCCCCCTCAGCTGGGCTGTGACCCCCCCAGCCTCCCAGGCCTGCTCACTGGTGGCTGTGCCGCTCGAAGGCGGGTTTGGAGAGGTTTGGCGAGTCCTGGGGTTCCTCTATCAGCTGCAGCTCTCCCTGCAGACCCAGGACCTGGGGTGGAGCACAGCCGCTGGGGCACTTGCCCTGCAGGCCACCGACGCTGGTTTGATCCCAGGCACTGCATAGGGCCCCCCAGCGTTGCCAGAAATGATCCCTGGGCAAGGAGCCAGGAGTAAATCGCACGTGGCCCCCAGACCTAAGTTAAAAAATATAAAACCTGGGGCAATAGCACAGTGAGGAGGACGTTTGCCTTGCACGCGGCCGACCCGGGTTCGATTCCCAGCATCCTATATGCCCCCCCCCAGCACCGCCAGGCCAGGGGTAATAGGATCCCGAGTGCAGAGCTAGGAGTAACCCCTGAGCATCGCCGAGTGTGACCCCAAAACCAAAAAAAAAAATTGTAAAACCTGCGTTTGAGTGACTGGGCCAGTGTCACTGGGCGGGGGCTTCTGCTGGGCACAGTACAGATGACTCCTAGCCCCTCAGAGGGACGGTGTGGGAGACAGATATGGAACATCTCTGCTTCATTGTTCTGGTGGGTTAACATTTTCTTCTGAATGGTAGAGGCTGTCCTAAGCCAGTGTGGGGTAATTGGTGTTTATTACAAAACATTCCAGCTTCCTCATCAGGAAGCAATTGGGGTTGGGACTCATCTGTATAATATTTGACTCACATTGATGTCGGTGGGCCCCACGGGTGACTTACGTGAAGCCGGGAGGAGAAAGACGGTCACTTTCTCCCCAACCGCCCCTGCCACCCGGGACCCAGGGTTCCTGGGTTCTTGTGTCGCTCGCAGGAAGGAATTTCAGGAGTAGACAAGCAGTGAAGTAAATGGATTTTATTTGGAGGATTTTTTAAGGTGTGGAGGGGGAGAGAGTGAGAGGAACGTACTCAAGAGAGAACTCGGGCTTGTCCAAGGGCGGAGAGGGCCTCTACACACATCCCAGCATTAGACACGAAAGCTTGAAAGTACATCCCAAGAGGGGGGATGCGGGCGCCACAAGTGCTCGTACACATGTGCTCCCCCACGTGGGCACAAGCAGCACATGGGCTCAGGCAGCACCTGCGCCCCTTCCTTTGTGGCCTGTGTAGGGTTTCTCCAACCTGCCCCCAGGTGGGCCCGTTGCTGAGGAGGTTACCAGGGGGTTCGGAAAGGTGGTGGTCTTCTTTGAAATTCCTTCCCCGGCCTTTTGCTTCTGCAGGAGCTCCCCTGGGTCTGTTGCTGTAGATTGGTGAGGGTCGTATCAGGCTTTAGTTCCTGTTTTTCCTAGTTTCCCGCAGGGCTGGCTTTTGCCTTTGCCTTGGGAGGGGCCCTTCCCTGTTTACCTGCATCAACCTGTATGAGGTCCTGAGTTCCAGCCCTAGCCGCGCACACACTCACACACCTGAAAACTATAGAAACTAATTTCCCGCCCCCAGATTGGAGTTGATCTTAGTGATGTTGGTGGGCCCTGCTGGGGACTTCTGTGAGGCAGGGAGGAGAAAGACGGTCACTTTCTCCCCATCTGCCTCTGCCACCACCCGGGTCCCGCTGGGAAGACTGGGACTGGCCGAGTGTGCGATGATCCCCTGCTCGGCCTGGGCCTGAGCCCCGCCAGCCCCACCAGGTGGCCATGAGGCCATACCTGAAGTCTGCTTGGTCTGCCAGGCATGGGAGTTGATCCCCGCCGCCCGAGTTCTTGGGGAGCCACGGATTCAGGCTGGAGTGAGGATTTGCTCTTTGCAGGAAAGGACAGGCCAGGCCCGGGCCAGGGTTTTTGGGATTCTTGTCTCGCTCACTGAAAAGAATTTCAGGAGTAGACAAGCAGTGAAGTAAAACATTTTATTTGGAGGTTTTGAAGGGGAAGAGACACAGAGAGAGAGAGACAGAAACACACACACAGAGAGAGAGCGCACGTGTGAACGAGAGCTGCCCTCCAGAAGAGTGAGGACTTGCCCAAAGACTGAGAAGCCTTGAATGGCCTGAACAGGTGGTTCTTATATGCATGTGCCCTGGTCTGGAGTTTCCTGCTGGCGGTGGGGTTTGATCAGATATCTTCACAAAGACACAGCTTTGACGTTTCCTGTGAGTCTCCTACTCTTTCATAGTTGTTCTTGTCTCAGCTGAAGTCTGCCACCTGTGTAGGGGACCGGCCTTCTCCGGGTCAGCCACTGGCGGCAGGTGATCAGGTGAAGCTGCACTTGGCTCCTGCAACTTCAGGGCTCTTCAGATCTTATTACTTCCCAGGAGTTTGCCTTGGGAGGGGCCTTCCCTGTGGGGCCTTCCCAGCCTGCCTGCCTACTTCATTACGAGCAAGGGGGTGATCTTGAAGAGGAAGCATTTGCTGGGCCTGAGCCATAGTCTAGTGGGGAGGGCGTTTGCCTTCACGTCGCCAATCCCGGCTCAATCCGGGATTCATGTGGTCCAGGAGCAACCCCCGAGCATCCGGGTGTGACCAAAATAAATAAATAAATAAGAAGAATCATTTATGGCCAGAGCAGTAGTGCAGAGGGGAGGGCGCTTACACTGCACACAAAAGACCTGGGTTCGATTCCCCTGCACTCCATATGGGGACCCAAACCCCACCAGGAGTGCTCCCTGGGCAGAGGCAGGAACTCCCTGAGCACTTGCATGTGTGGCCCCGATATATATTTTTTAAAGTAAAAGATTTGTGTCACCCACATAACTCTGCCACCCCCTGTCAGGGGTGAGAGCGCCACAAACGGGTGTGACCTCCGGATAATGCCACAATGGCAGAGATGTGCGAGCACACGTGAGGGCATCGCGTCGACCCAAACTGAACCAGCATCAGCGCTGTGTCCCTCGGCTAGACAGCCGCGCCTGGGAGCACACGTGCAAACCCCTCCCCTGCCCCAGCCCCGGGAATGCAACTGGCTGGAGATGTGCCGGTACCAGGGCCGTCACCCTGACGCCATCGGTGAGGTGACCAGCAAAGGGAAGGGACATCAGAACCACACACACCGCTGTTCTCCCCAAGTTCCTCCTTGAACACACACACCTGTCCCTTTCTGTTCTTCCCACTTCTGAGAAGCCCTCGATCTCTCATCTGCATATTCCCGTCCTCTCGCATCTTTCAAAGTAAATTTTGTTCAATAAAAACTTTTGCTTCACACGCGCGCGCGCGCACACACACACACACACACACACCACACGGGAACAGGAAGCAAGAGAAGGGGCACATTTCACGAGAGAACTGTGCGCGGGAGAGGTGGAAGGTAGAAACAGCCCCCCAGGAAGCGCTGGGGGCAGCGCTTTGCTATTTGACACAGCAAGGTACCCGCGTCTCACACTACTGGCAGCCTTGGTGGGTGGGTCAGAGGTGGGAGCGGTAACCACATCCTCACGGTGCTTGTTTCATCCTCTGCTGTACGGGTGGGGGTGCGCACACCTGGCAGCGTTCAGGGAGATCACTCTGGGGGCCCAAGGGGACCCGGTCCCGATGTGGTTCTGGGAACCAAACCCTCGTGGGCCGGGCACAAGGTGACCATCTTGATGTAGGCAGGTAGACAGGGAAGGCCCCCTAAGCCCCCTCCCGAGGCAACGACAAAAGCCAGGCCTGCAGAAAATAGCAAACAGGAACTAAGGCTTGATAAGACCCTCACCTGGCTCCAGCCACAGACCCAAAGAAGCTCCTGCAGGAACAAAAGGCCAGGAAAGGAATTTCAAAGAAGACCATCACACTCCCATCCTCCCTGGCAACCTCCTTAGCAACGGACTTTTACCTGGGAAGAAGCCCCACGTGGGGGCAGGTTGGAGAAACCCTATAAAGGCCACCTTGAACAAAGGAAGGGCACGCAGATGCTGCCCGA